CCACTGGTTGTGGAGGGGTGTAGAATGGTATGATATTGTATATCTGCTCATTTTCACAGGATCCTGGAGTATGAGAATCCAAACTTGAGCAATAATAGCAAGGGAGCTGGGTGTCGATTTGAGTTGTGGGATTGCAGCGGTGACCAAAAGTAAGCCAGCATCATTGTTACTTCCCCCAGGTTACTTAATTCATAATAGTTCTGTTTACATACAATATTCATACTTAAGGCCTAAAACCAATTATCTTTTTGAGATAAGGAATATTCCTGCCTCTTTACTCCATTATATTTTTATAGCTTTGCACTATAAAGCATCTGATCCTAGGTATTCTCTGCCATGATCCCAGCTGACACTGGACTTAGTTTTGGATAAGGACTGATTCTAACAGTCACATCCATAGCACCTAGAATGAAGGTACAGGTACAGAAGACACAGGCCCTGTAACTGCCTTTATCTCCTTGAAGTTATTATGTGAGAAGACTTCAAACAATGTATATGTATGATTGAGACCTTAATTTCCAACAGATACAACTGAGAACTGGACAGATCTGGTTTTAGGGAAAAAGTTTAAATAAGCATGTGACTAAATACTACATTGTCAGCAAATCATAGGAGCAACTAACATAATAGGTAAGTCAAAATATTTGGAATATGAGAGATCACTGACAAGATTACTAATGTTGTAATAAAGAAAAAGTACTGAAATATGTTCTTGAGGAGGGAAGAAGAAAACTCAAGGAAATTTGAGTGCATGTTTCTGTTTTCCAGCTATCAATCTTACCATTTTCCATGCACGTGTTTTTTAAGGTTTGAAACATGCTGGCCAGCTCTGATGAAGGACTCTCATGGTGTAATCATAATCTTCAATCCTGAGCTGCCCAGTCACCTGAAAGAAATTGAAATGTGGCACTCCTGTTTCGTGCAGCAGCAGCCACTGCTTGACAGTCAGTGTCTTCTAATTGCACATCACAAGCCAGGCAGTGCGGGGGACACAGAGAATCTGTCCTTGGGTAAGAAGATGGAAAACTTGATCTGTAACTTAGTTTTTTATTGATCTATTTATCTTTAAAATTGTTCATCCCTTATGGCTTGCATTTTTCATTCAAATCTGCCAAAGAATACCAGAGTGCTTTGCAAAAACCAAAATAATTAATTTCAAAGGCCATCTAGAAGGTGAGCAATATTCCTGTTTCCCAAAAGGGAAAGTAAAGGCAAAAAAAGTTTGAGTGACTTCTCTAAGGTCACGCAGTGAGTATGCAACTGAGCCAGGAATTCAAACTCCTGATGTCTGTAACCATATGTCATCATCACTAGCAGTTTGTTTCTTACATTGAACTTTATCTTTTGTTAACTGACACTTTTGAGGCCATTTAAGCCTGTATTTTATCAATCAAAAGAAGACGAGCCCTTTGAAATAAAAGCCTAATAATCTTCCTTTTAAAATTAGTAATAGGTGCCTTATATAATCGAAAAGTATTTATGGCTGTTTATACAGATGAGAACACACACTCCCTCTGGGCAACCTGTTCCAGTGTTCAAACAAATACATATTTATTATCATTATTAATATTGTAGTACATGTTTAACATAACAATATTGTTCCATAATTCTGAAGCAATCAAAGAATGTCATAACGCTTCAATGGTAAAATAGCAAGTCAGCACTGAATTGTTTGATTCTGCCTAACTGAATGTGAGACCAAAAGCAGCACTTCAAGCTTTAATAATAATGTTTGAAGAATTTAATCCAGCAAAAAGTTGTACTTCTTGGTAACACTAACAAGCCGCGATGCATTTCTTCTTCACGTGTTATATGTTATTTGGAGTATCAGACGTTGGATACTACTGAATTACAACTGACTTCAGCATGAGCCGGCCCATGACCTTGATTGTGAACATTTCTTTTATAAAAGGAATATACCTAATTTATTATTTATTTATCTCCAAAGCTTACCCACTGAACAAGCTAAAACTAATCCATTCCAACTTAGAAGAAGATCCTGAAGATGTTCGGATGGAATTTATGAAATACTTCAGAAGCATTATCACCTCAATAAATGAGAGCAGAGAGAGGGAAGAAATGTCAATTATCTCATAACATTAAAAGAAATACTGAACAGGGAAGAAAAAGGAGGATTTTTACTTTGTAAGCTCTACTCGCCTGTGAACAGGTCCTCACAATGAGAATTTGCCAGCCTATAAACACTTCAGAGAAAATAATGCACAATTTATGACTTAACCAGAAAAAAAACGATTGCTGCCAGCAGATGAACTGTGTTGCCAGAGATGGCTGCACATCCAGGAATTTGGGTAGCTTTAGCTGCACTTTGGTTTCATTTGGCATCAGAAGTACAGGAAGGTATTGTTTAATATAAGGGTATTGGTCATCACTTCAGAATCCCCTTCTGTAGAAGTGCTAAGAGAAGAAAGCCTGACAGAACGTAAGATTTGTGGAGTTCTGTTGAAGCATCTGAGTAAAGTGCTCATGCTAGCTGTGTTCCTGGAGAAGCTGTGCTTTTGGAAGTCAGTACAAACTGATTGAAATAGAGATCTGAGAAGCAGTCCTGGTGTGGAATCCACATTTTTATGTTCCAAGTTCTCCTTATCTTTCTGTCCAGCATCTGAAGAGAGCACATTTTAAAGCTATTACCTTGGCAAGACAGAGTAGGTTGCAGTCTTTCTCAGGACTAGGATTTTCTTCTATTCCAACAATAAACATGTTGTTGGGGACAATGTTTAGGTCTCTCTATCAGGAAAAGAATTGAAATCTCAGTGTAGTGCAATACTTTGACCTATGTTGGGAGCTCCAATAGAGGAAAAAAGAAGTTCTGCATTCTCCAGAGGAGGAAAAACTGTTTTGAAACTTGTGTTACTGTTCCCTGTTGCATTGAAATAAGTAGTTTCATAGATAATTTACTTTATGGTTTGTTTGGTTTGCACTCATCCCTGTTCTTAGTGTGTTTTGCTGTGGAAGACATTTTTTTTGTAACATGCAGTACTAAAGGAATAAAAACATTTTAAAAACGTATCCTTTTTGTTCCCAAAGGGAAAGTTAATTATGGTTTCATGGAACTCTTAATCGACTTGTTTAATTTTTAGTAAGGAAAACAGTGATAAATTTGTAGTGCATTTCATATGAATTAACTCCAACATGAGATGTTTACAAAAACTTTTAACTGACCCAAATAGTCAAAGAAATGGCAAATGGCAAACAGAAGCGTGTATCTGTACTGACACACGCTGCTTTTTTTCATAAGACAGTTTAAAGGAGAGAAGGACTGGGAGCAGGAACTGCAGAAATCCTTGAGAAGCATCCCATTTCACCTTGTACTGCAGCTCACCTGGTGAAGTGTGAGATCAATGGCTTGTCAGAACTATGGCTGACCCACAGCAGTGAATTTTACAGAGTTTGTCTCGTTGCATATTCATGTCACATAGCTATATTTGAGCTGCAGCTGCTTTACAAGTGTATTTGTTAAAACAGCCTTGTCCTCTCACCAACACTGTCTTTCAGTAAACAACCCTTACGGAAAGTATTTTATAAAACAGGAAGTACATGATCTATTTTAGTTCAAGACAACAGGAGTGAGATCTTCTTGGGATTTTCAGTGATCTAGGTTAATTAGTCTATTTTTCCTATTGCCATAGTTTGGTGTTTTCCAACTAATCAGTAGCTTGTCCTTGTGCAAATATTCTGTTTGCCAAGATGACAAGAAGAGATGCTTCAAAAATCTACTCAATCATTGTTTCCACATCTTTGTCCTGGCCTTCAAACATGCAATCAGGGCTTCCTGCAGGGTTCTCTCTGGGAAGCCTCAGTGAGAGCAGAGAGCTGCCAGGGTGTGGTGCACTGTCACAGGCTGCTGTTAGCAGTAGTGCAGGTCTTGTTTTGGCCTCCTCAAAATGCCCACAGGTCTCAAATAAAAAAATTGTCACTCCCTTCTTTTTGTCAGTCCCCTTCAATGGGATTCATTGTAGTGGTGTAACAACGATTGGCTGTAGCAGCTCAAAATAAGTTACTTCTATTGTTGCTTTCAGGTAGAAGATTTTTCAGTTATTTTCATATACTGCTTGAAGTGCTTCTACATCATCATGCTCAAAATCAACAAACATGTTACTAGAGTCTGAAAGCCTCTTCATCCCAGTTGTGTTTTGTACTTCTCCAGGTATTTTTCTCTTTGCTTATTAAGCCCTTTTCATTTAAAACAAAGGCATCTGAGGTGAAAGATTAAAGGTCTTTGGATCTTTGAACAGTTCCAAGTTGTAAAACTAATGGCTACAAATAACAGAACATAGTGAGCTCTCTCATACTTGAGAGAATGACTGTTCCAGTGACCTGCTGGTTTGCTCAGGTTGGTACCAGGTGTGCGGCAGGTAACCTTGTGTTCACACACAAATAACCTGCACTGTTCTTTTCCTGGGTGCTTGGTGTGCTTACGGAATTTGCTGCCCCAGCTTCTTCTCATTGTCTGCTGGCTCCTAGTTTGCCATTAAAGCTAAAAGCTCTGCTCGGTTCTGAGAGGAAAAGAGGGGAGGTACTGAAGGAAAACATCAGTGAGAGGGAGGACACTAGGAAAGAAAATCGCGAAATAAGCAGTAAGAGATGAAAATAAAAGGTTGGAGGCGAACAGTGGGAGGCTGGCATTTCAACATCTACATTTTATTTATATAACTTTTGAAACAATCAGGCCTTATATGTTTGCAATCAGTGTCATAGGGTGGTCTGTTGGAGACAGTTATTGGAAAATTCACAGTCTAACTAGAGAACAAGTTTTTTACATGCTGCCTTAGATTATTTTTTCCTTGTTGCCAGCTGTGTGGTGCTGGAGCCAATTTTTAAAATATACTGCCATAATAAATTCAGTTTTTCCCAACAGCAACATTGTGATATGTACTGGTAAAGACTGGTGTGAAACCCATCAGATATTTTATTTGAAATGTAAACCGGTGTTTGGGTGATTCCAGGGTTGAAAAGTCAATGAACTCTCGTATTCACCACCTTGCTTCATATAAAATGTTAATAATGATCTTATTTTAGACTCAAAAAAAGGATGTAAATTACAGGTATCTATATACTGCAACACATTTTTCACTAGATGAGAAAAATACTGTTAGACAGAAATAACGACAGATCCCTAGACTTGACTTTATATCATCCAGAAAGTCATAATACGTAGTAAATGTGGAACATCATTCATAAAATCTGGCCAAGAGATTAATGTCTGTGACTGCTGAAGAACAGAGTAAATACATAGACCCAAGCAAAATTAATCCTTAGTATTGGAGAAGATATAAAGAAAGTATTCATTCAGAAGTATCATTTATTAATGATTTCTGAAACAGGTCAACAGAGACCCCCAGTTAGAAGAAGGGTATGAGAATGCCAGATGCTCGATGATCGTATGTTATGTTTCTGTCTCTGCCCTGTACAGCCTCCCTGCCTGTGCTATCTACATCTGCAGAGCTTCAACCAACGCCCCATCGTAGTGTTACTCAGGTTGGGGCTGTCCAGTCCGACTTGATTGAAGCGATGTGGTTAATAAGTGACTGTTCTATGGCTCTCTCCCTACTTCTGCTTGGGAGAGCAAAGAATTGCCCAGACAAGTGTAAAGGAAACTGGGAACATGAGGTAGTCAGCTGTAAGTTACACAGAAACCAGTTGGCAAACCACAGGTTTAACTAGGAGTAGGAGCAATTTAGGAGCAGAAGGTAACAGCAGATTTGCAGCAAAAGCACTCCATTGTACTCTTCTATGCTGGTGACCTTACTGCCTGGCTTGGGAGTCTGGAAAGGCTTTTTGGGTGACCTTTCCAAGATGTGGAAGGGAAGGTAGAGAACCAGTGAAGTCTGTCACTTCCTCCAAACAAATGTGGCCTTCTCTAGGTGTCCGCAGTCCCTTACAGTGAACAGCCCACGTCCCCTTCTCATTCTGTCAGCAGCTGTGTACCCCGAAACTCCTGCCTTCTATGAACTGGAAGTCTCTGAGTTACCCATCCATTTTGGTGGTTCTGTGTCCATACTGCAATACTGGCTATCTGCTGCAGTTTGGAATACTGGCTATTTGCTCCAGTGGCTTTTCTGTGATCACATGCATTTGAGGAACTGAGGCTGGAATCAGGGACACAGAACATTTTCAATATTAATTAATTCAAATACATTCAGCCTCCACAGTGTAGAATCCAAAGACTCCAGGATACACCAACTGTTCAGTGAGAAAACAACCTGTTACATAAACAGAAGTTATTCAGGTGCAACATTATTTTGTCACTTGGCACTGAGTACTGCTAATCCTGACAGCTTCCATCACTATATTTATGATGTACAGAAATTATTTTCAAAGTTTTATTGCTGTATAGCTACAAAGAGATTTATAGCTGTAGGTGAGCTCTACTCAAGTTCACACTCATCTCCCATGAAAGCAGTTGGTACATTATTGCTTTGGAGAGTTGACCTATCTGGACGAAGAGCATGGAAACTTGATAGAGAACAGGTCAGAATCAGAACTCTGCAGGGTTAGAAATGCAGAATTTTAAGACTTCAGGGTCATATATAGAAAGTTAATGGCTGTGTTATCAGCTGTGTGTATATCAACTTCTCTGTGGTGAGGGTGACGGAGCCCTGGGACAGGCTGCCCAGGGAGGTTGTGGAGTCTCCTTCTCTGGAGACATTCAAGACCCACCTGGACGCCTTCCTGTGTGATCTCATTTAGGTTCCTGCTCTGGCAGGGGGATTGGACTGGATGATCTTTTGAGGTCCCTTCCAATCCCTAACATTCTGTGATTCTGTGATCACCCATCTTGCAGACTGGTGATTTAAGACATTTAAGCTCTTCAATTATAAAACAGTTTGCTCGGGTTACCTCTTACAAGCTGTTTTCTGCACACACATTATGAAGCCAATAACTACTTGTGATGATGAAAACAGTTGCAGGCACTGCAATCCAGATGTGTGACTTCCAGGGTAAAAATCATACTTGTTTACAACCAAACTTTGGATGTAGCAGCAAAGCTGAATGAAATATATTTGGACGTTACCAAAAAAATTCAGCTTTCCTTTCAAGTCATATATTTTGAAGGCCAGGCCTTTGGTCTCAGTTGCTCTCAGCAGTATTGTTCTAATGGACACAATAGACATAAGAAACCCTGTGTTCCTATTTCTGTTCTTGAACTGCCAAGTGACTCCGAGGAAGTCACGTAGGCCACCACATTTGAGTGCCCAACCATGCTGTGTTTTTGCATGCTCAGCTTAAAATATGTAGGGTCCCGATGTGCAGACACTTTAGGAAGCAACTAGTAGAAGG